ACAAGAGAGCCGCACGAAAGTCCCTGCTCTCTAGTAGGGACTTTCGTGGGGGTAAAAAGGTTCTCATGAACTAATTTTAGTACCGGCTCTTTTTGGTGTGAATGCGACAAAAGAGTTCTCATGAACTAAGTTCTCATGAGACCTTTGTGGGAAAAGTGCTGTGGTGTGAATGCGCCTAATGTCCCCGAAAATGACATTCCCAGAACAAATGACCCTAAATTCACTTCTAAAAGGAGTAAATTAATAATTCTCAAAGCAATGATAAACCTGTGAGTTGGATGTAGAAGAGTCAGAATCAATATAGATTTTTTTTATTTGAAAGTAAATTCAGATTGAACATAGTAAAAAAATGTAAATGATAGTGTCCGTCCAAAAAAAAAACATTACTTATAGTGAAAACCACACTTGAATGATGTGATCAGAGACTAAAAGCTTTAGGAATCCAAACTATAACATATAATAAGTACCCTGTATCAAGATTGATTTCAAAACAAGTGAAATTTGACCTCTTTAGAGAGATTTAGCACAAAAAACCCACTTATGGGGTCATTTGGGTGGATTTGACCTATCTCTGGCCCCCCTTGGTCGATTTTTGATGATTGACATCTCTTTTTAACCGTTAGAGCCAATAGAATCGAGAGAAAATTCCACATACACACACACACACGTTACCAAATAAGGAGTGAGAGTGATGCGTAGCCAGAATACCCAAAACAGGAAGCTGTCATACACTCTGGTAGCTATCATTAGCAGCTAATATGAAAACTCAGTTCTTGACATAAAAATGGAATTATGGATTATCAGTAATTTTTTCAAAGTGACACAGACACATTGGATTAACCTATGGATTAACCTTCAGCCGCGTTTTTCTCGTTGTAATGCCATTGAACAAAACCTTTGATCAGAATAACAGCAAAAGGCAAGACATATTGCCGTGTTGGCTACCTAAAGCTCCGTGTTATGATTTCTGTATTTGCTTCAAATGTCGCAAGTTCTGGTCGCTCAGTGATGATATATTTCTGGAATCTGTGGAATCTCAGTTTAATAGCAAAGCTTGTTTGTGCAGATCCGATAAGTAATAAAGTATGTATACCTAGAGTTCTGTGCTAAGTGGCTCAGGGCTCATTTAGACGCTTCTTGTGAGACTTGTGTATCGTCAGTTAGCTGAGTTTCTTCCCGTTAAATGAGTATGACACATTCATAGTTTATTAAATGTTAAGAAGCCCTGAGACACAGTTTCGTGAAAAAAAGCTTAACAGGTTAATGACAAAGCCTTTGTAAAAAATTAAATATAAAATGTACTCTAAATGTGTCTGTAATCCAAAGCTTTACCAATACATTCCATATACAGCTACACAACAATTCCTAATTTGCAACATATGTTCCTTTACTCTCATAATAAAAATCCAGAAAAAGACCAACAACATCTTGATCATTTTACAATAACCTATTGTAGTTTTCACATCTTCTCTGCTTTTTCATCTGCGCGAGGCGTATTGATTCGTACCTGCTTTTCCTTGCTCAGATTATACATTCATACACAAGTTCTCAGCACGCAGTCATTTGTTGAGCATGCATCTCGCACACAGGAAGATCTGACAACAAAAAGCTCCGGTTTCCCAGAGGACGAGTACACATGGAAGGAGGGAGGGAACCAGAGGAGGGGGGGTGAGGAAGCAGCGTAGCGACTGAAGCGACTTTGTCTCAGGAGAGGAGCTTCTTCGATCTGATTATTTGGGAAGGACAAAGTGCTTTTGTTGATGAACAGTCGCTGTGATATCTGGGAGTTGGGAAATCGATGAGGACGCGCAGAGCTGTGGCTCATTGATCCCAGGCCGCGGCATTGACAATCCATGGCCTGGTTAGCTATGCGAGAGAATGAGGCGAAATGAGCTGCTTGTGAAGGTGCTTCTCTCTCTCTGTAGACACTGTTATTGGTATCATTTGTATTGACAAGCTTGGCTCCGGCATGATTAATAATCACCCGTTCCAAAGTGTGAGCTCTGTTGTCTGCATGTTTGTGTGTGCCGTGTCAGAAGTTTTATGCTAATCCTCGTGTGTACCTCTTTTCTCATTTATCTTCAATTCTCGTATGTGCAAAACTTTGAAAAAGAAAGTAAAAATAAGAGATGAATAAAAGTAAGTGCATATTTTGTAGCGCAGGAAAGAGGAAGAAACAGAGAATTACTCAAATCACTCAAATGAGGGCCTCTCATTATTGGGCGCGGGCATTGTTTGTCCAGGCAGCTTTTTCCTGGCACCTTGTTAGAGATGTCCACGGCTGGTAATTGGATCCGTCTTGCCATTAGAGTGGAGCCGCGGCTGACAGACGCTCACACCGGAGAGACGCTTAAATGACAAATGTTCTCTCTCCTTCTAAAACCTGAGTGTAAAGCTGTGACGTCTCGTTATCGTGTCTCAGACGAGGTTTGAGGGCTCTGGCAATCAAGCGGGCTGCTTAAAGCTACGAGGCTACAGCACAAGGGACGCGGAGAGGACGCCTGAGAGCTTTAAGTAAAAAAGGAAGGTTTTTTTTTAGGGCTGTCAGTCGATTAAAATATTTAATCGCGATTAATCGCATGATTGTCCATAGTTAATCGCGATTAATCGCAAATTAATCGCACATTTTTTATCTGTTCTAAATGTACCTTAGAGGAATATTTTTCAAGTTTTTTTTCTCTTATCAACATATGAGTGGACAAATATGCTTTATGCAAATGTTTATTATCATTTGAACAATGACAAATATTCTCATGAATATTAAACACAACAACCTCTGAACATTACAAATATTCGCCTCAATTCAACCTGGAACCTCTCTCATTCAATAATACAATACAAATGGCGCGTGTGTGTGTGTGTGTGTGTGTGTGTGTGTGTGTGTGATAGATCGTTGGAGCTATGTGCAACTCAAGGCATATGCTCGAACGGCAGCTGCCTGGACGCTGCAATCATGTTGCGCACTATCCGTGCTGAGTGTGCTGACTTTTCGTACAATGTCCCACTGTCTGGCTTCCTGCATAAAGTCAAGTGCTCGGCGCAGTTGTGGCGAAATGTCGCTCCTCTGTTTTCATTGAAACAGCTCCTTATCCGTTAGCGCAGCTAGCTAGCACCAGATCCTAACAACAACAATACACGTAAGGTCTCTCTCTCGTTCGCTCGGGCCACACATACACACACCCTCCCGGTCCTCCCGGTCCTCCCAATAGCCAGTCGGTGCCTGCCGGTGAGCGTGGAAGTGTGGTCTGCCGCAAGCGGGCAGCAGGAGCGGGGCTGTCAGCATCAGCTTGTAGATGGTATTTTAAACTCGATGCGCTCTGAAACTACGGGGCGGCCGAGGAAAAAAAATACACATGCGTTAATCGCGTTACAATAATTAGTGGCGTTATTAACGCGTTAACTTGACAGCCCTATTTTTTTGTGTTTGTGGGTGTTTGGTTAGCGTAGCAAGAGGTTTCCTTTTCTTTTTAATCAATAGGTATCTTTACCTGGGCGAGCAAATATGAGTCAAGGCTGAACATGTACTTACTTCTGTTAGTGTTCACCCTACCAATACTGCTATGATTCAGGATTTAAAGCTGTTACAGGCCCAGGTATGCAACAGTACATGTATTTGTATTAAAGCAACAATTTCCATTTGGTTTCCATTCTGGATTATACATTACATTACATTGCATTTAGCTGACGCTTTTATCCAAAGCGACTTACAATAAGTGCGTTCGAATGTATGATTATACATTATCATGTGTTGAATATTTACCTTTTTAATGGAATTGAACCAGGTACACTGTTCATGTATTAGATACACATCTTTATCTGTAATCCTGTGCGAACACAATATTATAATCTAAGACAGTTCACAAAATAGTGCTGCAGGGATGAGGTATTTTCTTAGCCTGACCTGGAAGTTAGCATAGCACTGGTCCATCGACAAAAAAACGATGGGTTTATTCAATTGGATTTTGGATTATTTAAATAAGGTCCATGGTAATTAAACATTTATCATACTTAGACGTATTGTTCGGCAACAATATATTCCCAAATTAACCCAACTATTATAATGTTTTAAGTGTAAATGTAATCAACAGAAGTAAAAAGCTAAGAACAAACTACACCACCTTCAAATTGACCTCGCTAAGCTTAATGCAAACTATTGTTCGGCCTGATTACTTTGTCTCATTTAGTTAGCAACCCTATTTTTTAAGACGAAATAAAATCATTGAGAGTATTTCCTGGCATATTTTATGTGGTAAAACACAACCATAAATAATTTAATAAACCTGTGTTTACCACATACCTTATTTTAGGCATTTATCAAAAATTCTGCACAAAAATAAATAATTGCCTTCAACGATCAACAGCTAGGTTCAGTCAAGTTCAGGATGACTATTCCTTGTTGTGTCGAGTCATTTACAATCAATCCATAATTATCTACTTCATATTCGCCACCTTGCATTTTCTATGTGTTTTTCAAAACCTTAAATTTTTTAAGGGATGTTTAGCTGACACATTGACACATATGCAGGCCTAAAAATCTGTATTGATTTTGGTATCTTTAAATTTCATACTGCCAAATCCTCCTCTCCTTCTCTACATCTCTTCAAATGTCAATGTCAATTCTTTACTCTGGAAATAAAAAGACATGCTTTAATTTCATGGTTCAGGAAACGTGGTATTCATCAGCGCAATGCAACGAGCTGCTTTTGTTTCTGTTTTACTGAATGCAAATGAACATCTAGAACGAAAGGGCTTTCCAATTAAGTGTGTTTGACATTCGTCAAACATGTGTTAGTACAAGAATAGACCCTTATATTCAGTACAACCATTTCCATATGGTTCATGTATGGATACCAGAATGCTTTTAACCTGTTAAACCCGGCAGCCCGGGTTTTTTTTCACGAAACTGTGTCACAGGCAGTGGCGGCTGGTGGAAAATATTTTTGGTGGGGCTGTTGATATACTGAGTAAAACAATTTTTTTGGGAGAAATGACCCCTTAACCCTTAAAGGCCGAGCGAGCCGCCCGCGGCTTCAAAGAGGTAGCGTTCTAAAATGCTTAATAACTTTTTAACCGCTAATCCTATCCATCTGATTTAAAAAGTGAGGTAAAGCGGCTATTCTAGGCTTTTTGCTGGTATCACTATGTCCTTTTCCGGGATTCAGAGGCTCCGACGTGATCGGGGCAACGTTATCACATTTTACAGCCTTGATTCGTCAAGGAGACCCACGCGGCCCCTCTGTCTGAGCCAAACAGCAAAGGTTTTAGACTAAGTCCCACCCCCCTGTGTCCGGATAGGTTTAAAATGTAAAGGTCCAGGCAAACCTCTGCCCATGCTACCATCTTCTCGACCAATCAACATAGGTTGCTGTGTATGTTTTTGGCGGCGGGAGATAAACAAAGAGAAACAGAGAGACGAGAGAGTAATACTAAAGAAGAGTAATTCTGCCAGCGTAAGAGAAATAAATACAACACGAGATATCTAGATACAGTCACACACACACACACACACACACACACAAATACACATACATACACACACACACATATCCCAAGACAAATTCAAACCAACATGTCAAAACGGCGTTACACTACGGAAGAAGCCGTAGAATTTATTTGGTCTGGCGGACCGCTTAGCAATGCAGCGGTGGATTCCTCAGATTCTGAAGCTGACAACTGGCAATGAAGAGGAGTATGATCACGGGATTGATCCCTTCGAAGATAAAAAAGTGAGTAACTTTGCTTATTTCTTATTGTTTGTGTTGCATTTATCGGTTGTTGTTTCTGTATAACGCCGAAAATAATTAGTCCTAAGAGTTTTTATAATGGATGGCCATTTGCCGTAATTGTGTCATAAAGTGAAGTCCTGAGCTCAAGATTCACTATCAATAGAGGCTCTATTTATTTCAGTAAAAAAACATCAAGCAATACCTTTCATGTATTGCCTCATTCCGCTTGCCCTCTTTGGTTGTTTGTTATGAGGTCTAATGTTATTATATTCATTGCATTACAATTCAGTTACTGATTCCATCAACTAGTAATGTTAGCAGAGGGATAAAGTGTGAATCAAATCAAAAGTTGAGACTGTGTTTAGAAAACAGATAGGATGACACTGGAGAAATAAAAGCAATAAAGGAAATAAAATAAATTCAGACATTTATATCTGTATATTTTCCTCCCTTTTATTTTAGTACAGAGGATGAGAGAGGGGATGCACAAGCCCCTGTCCCCATCAGTAGGCCTCCTTCAAACCGAGAGGGAAAAGAATGTGGCCAGGAGGGTGCAGCATCCAGAAAAAAGGCCAAACCAATGCCAGTAAAAGGGAGAGGAAGAGGAAAAGGGAAAAAAACATCTCTGACCCCAGAAGAGCCAGGAGCTGTTTGGAACGGACCTGAGGTGCCAGATACTTCCCAACAACTACCACACTTTTGCCCGAAAAGAGCCCCTGGAGTCCAAGGTTTTGTTGGTGTGGAGTATACTCCTGCACAAATATTTAGAAATTGTTTTAACAACCAAGCTGTAAATATCATCTGCAAGAACACAAACAAAAATGCTGAAAAGGAGCAGGCTAAGGGGGAAAAGTTTGTTTGGGAAAGCCGGTAAAATTCCTCATGTATGTCGGCCTTATGGCACTTCTAAAACTGCTAAAAGTAAGTGACTACTGGAGGAAGGGATCACACCTGAGTGTTCTCTTTCCTGCTCCTGTCATGACAAGAGACAGGTTCATGGCAAGCAGCAGAGCTGTACATCTGAGCGACCCAGACCATGATGAATGTGGATACATTTCCTTTGCTCTTTATATATTTTTCTAATATTTTGGTTATAGTTTGAAGATCATTTGCTCTTTGTACTTTTGCACTTTCTATATATTCCTAATACTTTGTTTATAGTTTTAATATAATTTGCACTTTGTTAATTTGCACTTTGAATTTGTTTCACTGTTTGTGTTTGTATTTCAATGTTCAAATGATAATATATATCTCTGAAACAAGTTATTTTTGTTGCAATGTCATCTGTTATGGTTTAATTGTTTACTCTCTCAACCTTTTTTTGACAGAAGAAACATGATCAGTCATTTAAATATGGAAATACATTTCGTTTTAATTATTCCATATGATCCTAGGCGTTTTTCACTGAAAAACGCCTAGGATAATATTGTAATAAATAGCTGTAACTTGCTCAGGGAACATAATATGCAGATGAAATTTAATTTGAAAGCCTAAAACATCTAAATGCAGCTTTGTAAATAATAAAAAAGAAAATCCCTATGTTCCTGGCGGAGTAAACAGTAAAAAAACACAACATTTGTACTGGCGTTTTTTAAAAGTGCTGGTAAATTCAGCCATTATCACACAAAGTTATGGTAAAATTTGGACTTCAAATTAGCCAGACTTGAACTAGAGGTTCTCTTGAATCAAATGAGGTAAGGCACTTGATGCTGACTGCTAGAAAAGGTTAGAACAGGTTAGGAGAAACAAATAAATACAGGAGAGTCAGGCAGGCGAAAATTCCGTCTAGGTCTTTAAGGGTTAAAGGGATAGTGGAAATGGAACCTCAAATAGTTTCGTTTTAACTTATATACAAGCATAATTACGTACCAAAACAATCACACCTGATTAAAAATATATAATAATTACCTTACGCATGTTAGAAGCACTTTATTGCAGCTTCCCCGAAGTTTTTTAGAAACGAAATGTTCGACTCAGCCAAACCGGAAGTGACGAAAACTTAGGAAGACGATACGATAACAAACCATGGCGTCTATGCAGAATGAACGTGGAAGGGCAAATATACCAGACAAAGAAGAAGGATTGTACGAGGTATCCAGTGATGATAGCGAGTCAGAAACATCCTCTCGGCTTTCCTACGAAAATGTCGTTTTAGGAACTGAATCTGAATCCGGTTCAGTAAGCGACGATGGTGACAATATTGAGCCAGACGATGGACCATTACGTCCTTATTTGTTCGAGCCCGAGCCCGAGGTGATGGTTCACGGCATGGGCAATGGCGAGGATGACCAGGACCAGGCGCCAGATGATGCACCCCTACGCACAAATAATCTTGACTGGTAGGTCCCTAAGCATAGCTCACGCATCTTAAGATCACCTGTAGCCTTTACAAATATTAATCATTGTTAACCAGTTAAGGCCGAAGGTCCCCCCAGTGGACCCCTCCCACAGTTTTTTTTCTCTCACATGTCTCAGGGCTTCTTAACATTTATGAAACTATTAATGTTTCATACCCTTTTAAAGGTAAGAAACTCCGCTAACTGACAATAAGAACAATTGTTAGCTAGAAAAAACACAAGAGTAATACCAAGCCTTTGAATTAGCATTGAGCGAAACAATGCTAACTAATGCTAACGCTTTTTTACACACAACACACGGTAGAAATGCCCTTATTACTATCTTAACTGCACAAACAAGATATACGATTTAAAGCTGAGACTCCACAGGTGTAATGTCATCACTGTAAGACCTCGAATTCCTGGAGCTATCAGCCAGAAAAGAGAAAGTAAACAACATCCGGTTCCAAAAATATTACAATAATTACGTCTTACCTTTTTTGATTTGTGATCAAAAGTTGTGTTCAACGGAATAAAAACGCATCTCAAGGTTAATCCAATGTCGTTGTGTCACGTAGAATTGTTTACTAATAATCAATCATCATATTCTCGAAACAATCGTCAGTAAAATGACGGGAGCACACGACTGCCGAATTACTCGTCAGCTTCGGCTCCGTGAAGTTTGCCCGTGTTATCTGAACAAATTTCACCCACTGACGACGAATGGCTGGGTTTCTTGGAAACGCATGCGTCGATACGCCATTCTCTGCATTTGCTGTCGCACTACAGCCATACAAAACATCTATTCACCATAATAAAGGTCGGCTATTCACATGCAAATGCTATTGAATGTCCGCCATTGTTTGTGCCCGTCTTCCTATGCTCTCGTCATCACCCGAAGATTCCCGACGATTCCCGAAGTATTTCGTTTCATTGAGAGGGCGCAGTAAAATTGAAAATAAAATGAAACTAGGCGCATGAAATTAAAAAAAATTGTTTATTATGCTTTTTTTTAATAAAAATACAAAAGTTAAACCCAAAATTCGCGGATTTCCACTATCCCTTTAAATTAGGACTTCTGGTGATGTCATGGCGCGTTTCTAGTGCAGCGCGGAGCTCGCTTTAATGCTGCGTTCAGACTGGACGCGATGCGAATATTCGCTTCGCTCTAAACGCTCCTATCGCATCGCTCTAGTCCAGTGCTTCTCAAAGTGTGGTCCGCGGACCACTGGTGGTCCGTGAGCGCCCCCTAGTGGTCCGTGAGTATATTGGTAAAATTTCACATTTGAAATAAATAAATACATTTAAGTTTTCCGCACTCTCGTGGGAATATCTCCGCAATGGAGCGAGCTTATGTTTCACTTTCGATTGCATGATATAGCCCAGCGCAACACCTTCATCACACATGTTGCCACTTGTTTGAATAATTTTCAGGTGATTTGTAATCTGTTCTAGAAAAATGATGTGATTTTGGATATTTGTGGAGTTAGGTGGTCCGCAAGTGTTTTTTTATTGGTTAAGTGGTCCTTGGTATGAAAAAGTTTGAGAAACACTGCTCTAGTCGCTCGAGTTTCACCGCGGATGCCAGCTGTGTTTACTCGCATCATTCAAACAAGACGCGCTGGCTCGGGAGCTACAACTACAACTACAACAAAATGAACATATTTTACCGTGATTAAATTGTAATACACGTTTATAAATGATGCCGACGTAACAACATACTGATACCGGTTAGTAAAAACCATGAATTAATGCTTTGACAAGTCTGCAGACAGACGGCAGGCGAAAAACCTTTTAGAATGCTTGTTTTCTGAATGGAGATTGGGTCGACCAGGCTAAGCTAACGTTGTATATGCTCACTCCACACTCATAACAACGGCCTACAGACATAAATAAACCAGCGACTGTATTCGCCATGACACAGACAGTGCCGAGCCGTGCGGGGCCCGTTTTTGGTTGCGTTTCCACTTGGCCTAGTACTGGCTAGCGGGTCCTAATTCACAGTTTTTCTGGCCCTATAAAATCGTGGTTCTAGGGCCAGGAACAACCAGGCTGAGTCGGGCTAAGTATGCTAAACTAGAGAGAGAATCGCTGGCAAGGGGGCTACAACTACAACAAGATGAACATATTTTACCGTGATTTAATTGTAATACACGTTTCAAAATGATGCCGAATTAACAACATACTGATACCGGTTAGTAAAAACCATGAATTAATGCTTTGACAAGTCTGCCGACAGACGGCAGGCGAAAAACCCTTTTAAAATGCGTGTTTTCTAAATGGAGCTTGGCTAAGCTAATGTTATATATGCTCCGACCGTCCACACTCACAACAACGGCCTATACAGACATAAATAAACCAGCGACTGTATTCTCCATGACACAGACAGTCTGTGGTTTGTACTTGTTTAACTTTTGTCTAGTTTCTGAACAGATCGTATCTGTCCCCGGCTGTTTGAAGAGCAAGCATGGGAAACAAAAGACAGCATTTACCTGTTTGCATCCAGCTAGCCATGCCTTTCTGGTGTACCAGCTACGTGAGAAGCCTCGTTGATACGTTTTGTCTTTTTCACGAGCTTGCTGCGATATATACAAATCGGGTTGGTCCGGTCCAAGGTCTTTAAGTATCAATTTATCTCCCAATCTTCTCCTTTCCAAAGGATTGGAGAGTAGCTCTTGCACGGAATTGGGTGCGGACTGAGGTCCGGCGACTCCACCTGCACACAAAGCCATTCTCATCCAACTACTGCGTCACCTTGGTCACTCATGAGTCTAAAAAACAACTCACGTCAACGCACGTAAGCAACGTGGGCGCTGACGTGAGCGCCCTCGTGACCAAAATATTTGACGTCGCTGATTGGCTGAAATTATGTTTCGGCGGCACAGTTTACTATTGAGACTTTTGCAAGGTGCTGGTTGATGCTGTTTGGCTCGGGGGCTCCTTGCACGGCGCCCGGTAATGATAAACTAATGCCACGGGCAAGGCCAGGCATGTGACTTATCAGTAACTTTAGACATCGTAACACAATTTTAAACGAGATTTTATTGTAGATTATACATTTTACTGATACCAATTGTATGATATTTACCTTGTTCATTAAAAATAAAAATATAAAATATATATTTTTTAAAAATATATATTTTTTAATTTAATATTTTTTTTTATATATTTTTTTGTATGTGGGAAGAGGTGGGGCGCCACTCGTCTCAGGGCTTCTTAACATTTACAAACCTATTAATGTGTCATACCCACTTAACGGGAAGAAACTCAGCTAACTGACGATACGAACAATTTTTTCCGAAACAAAACACAAGTCTCACAAGAAGCGTCTAAATGAGCCCTGAGCGAAAAAATCCTAACGCACTTAGCACAGAACTCACGGTAAAAAATACTTATACTTATCGGATTTGCACAAACAATATATTAGATAGCAAACTGAGATTCCACAGATTATAGGGGTATAAGTATCATCACTGAGCGATCAAAACTCGCGGCAGGGGAAGCAAACCCAGACATCACACAAC